AGCACAGGCCTCACGTCGCTGGGTTTTGGGGCGCCGTCGTGCTCGCCTACATGGCGATGCAGCTCCATATCACCACAGCCTTCTCTGTCCTCATCAACCCGGCGTTTTACATGGCGGAGTTTGTGAATCTTGGCATGCACAGACAGCGCAAGTCGACTGATGTCGAGAACGGACTCGAGTACGCTGAGTCCACGACCCCAGCGGATGAGATCATGAAACAGGCGAACGTCGTGGCCGACCACAAGTGTCATTGCACATGTCACGGTGAGACTGACGCCGAGACGACCGAGTACCGCGGCGCCAACGCCATCAAGTACATCGTACTGCGCACCTGCATCACCGTGATCCTCGTTGTGTTGTCCATCCTGTTTAAGGACCACTTCTCCGATTTTGCTGATTTCGTGGGCTCGTCGTCGTTGACCATGAGCTGCATTCTGCTGCCGGTGGCTTTCTACCTGATCAAGGCTTGGAACAACATTCCCAAGGTGGAGAAGATTGCTGCCATTGTCGTATTTGTGGTTTGCCTCGTTTTCGGACTACTCGACGTACACGGCTGGCAGGAACCTGTTCGCTCCATCTGACTCGGAGGCTTCGTTCCCGTACTGCGAGCTTGAGTACCAGAACACCGTATTTTACAACTCTACGGCTGAGCACGAGACTTGAACACACCGTGTCGAGCTCCAAGCTTCAAGATATACATATATGTAGCTGTAGCTCATAAATAAGTCCCGTATGCTCCTGGTATATTTTGGTGCCAAGAACTGCGAATCAGTTTGCATACTTGTACAAATCATCAGATGTCCATATTTCAACCAATCATATGGATCTTAAAAGCGACATTTAATTCCCTTTTAAGATCGTTTAGGTGATAGATAAATTTTATCGATCACCACACGAGGTTTCTTTCTGAAAAGCCTAACTGGTATTTCTAATCAGGACTACTTCGTACTACCGAATTCCCTTAGTTATCACGTACTACTAGCCGAGTGCCGCCGCTACGCGGCGGTAGTTTAGGTTTAGTTCTACTTGTTTTGGCCTTCCCGCCTCCGCTACGTTTCGGCGGGATAAATATTAAAGAAAGGCTAAGCCTCGATATTTTTAATTCATTAATTTGGGTCAGTATCATGCATACCTGATGAAAAATAATTATTCTAATGATCTTCACTCATGATTCTTACTACATGTACAATTTCTTTAATATTGTTGGTTATCACTGTAATCTTCATGTTCCACCCAAAACTACCTGCACTTTAAATTACATTTATACAAACGCTACACAATATGTAACGGGGTACGTAGCCCTAAGTGTACCCTGGTTACATGAAGTGTGACACTTCACACTTCAGGTGTATGACACGTCATACTCCGGGATATTTGGTACAAGGTACCAAGGTCGTTCAAAGCCAACCATTGGTCAAACGACATTGCATTTCTATAGGTAACTTATAGTTTGTATTAAACCCAAACTTAACCTACCTATAAATATACTCAGTTTACAATCTACCTTATTTAGGTCACTTCGCTCTCTTTAAATAAAGAGGGGACCTGTGAACTGCCGTTCACTGAGAGTTTGTATACTCTCGGAAGATAACTTCCTCTAGCGCAAGGTGATGTGTGACCCCGTCACACTTGGTAGCACTAGTAGTCAATCCACGCCACCGCGGGTAGACTACCTGAACCTCTCCGAAGTTTGTTGCCATGGATAGGAACGACTTCTCCCAAATGAACGACTCTCAGTTCGAGTCGGTTCGGAAGATGGCAGGCATCTTCGGGATGGAGGCCCTGCAGAGCCTGGTGGTGTCAACACCGGCTGAGCAGCTCGAGCGCGTCAATGCATTCGACGCGTACGAGCATGGCCTCATCGCGCATGTGCGGGAGAACCTGCAGGCTCCGGCGGCGGAAGCAAATCCGCCTCACCCGAAGCCAATACGGCTGAAGGTTAAGCCGTATGAAGGGAAGGAAGGCGAGAACCTTCACTTCTGGGTCCGAGAAGTAGAGCTCGCGATGGACGCGGCTCTGATCTCGACCGAGCAACTGCGTGTTGCTTTTGCACTCTCCAACCTTAGCGGCCGTGCTAAGAGTTGGGTGTACACACGGGAAGCAACATCCCCTGGATGTTTCACATCCTGGGCTCAGCTGTGCGAACAGCTCCGAGCCGCGTTCCTCCCGGCGAACTACGAGTACCGCCAGCGTTCGCGCTTCCTCTCGTGTAAACAAGGAAGGCGCGAACTGCACGAGTATGTGCAAGAGATACGGGAGCTCACGGCATCCCTAGTGGGACACCCACTCAACGAACACATCAAACTGACTGTGTTCATGGGCGGCCTTCGAGTGGGCCCTGCACGCACTCAGCAGTTCCGGGTGCAGTCAAGCACTCTTGAAGAGGCGATTCAAGTGGCTCTTCAAGAAGAGTACAGCCATCGCCAGGCGCGTACGCCGGCCTCAGCATGGCCTGGGAGTTCTTTGTCGGCTCCCGGCCGAACAAGCCCCAACGGACCAGTTCCCATGGAACTCGAATACGCTGAACAGCGTGACATCCGCGGCTTCGGCTGCGGGAAGATGGGCCACTTCAAGCGCGACTGTCCTGCGAAAAGACTCCGCAGACGGTCCTTCCCCAAGCCCGTCCTCAAGGGTCGCTGGCAGAAGCCAGGATCCCGGGGACAGGGAAAGCTAGGAACCAGTAGGGGA